TGGCCAATAACCACGCTTCCTATTTGAGAAGTAAAGTGGGGGTACCTTACTGTCAAGGTCGAACCCAGTGCTTGACATTTTCTTTTTTTTTTTAACAGATATTAATATTATTAATGTAATTTCAATTGTCAAAAAAAAATAAAATACAGAGTATGATGGGGACAAATGTAACATGCCCAAGTTTGTCCTTGTGTACAAATGGACTGCCCAATCAAAACACTGAAGTTGTGGTTTATTATAGAGGTAGGGTCCATTGTTAAAAGCAGCCTGATCAATAGAGGTAGGAACCAGAAAGCGTAACTCATAAATTGAGTAGGGTAAAACCATGAGTCATGTGTCCGGTAATAGGGTAGCCTCTTATAATAGAGTTGTTTGTATCTTTAATTATTAATTTTGATGTATCAAAAACTAAATGAGTGTATAAACACTAAGTGTCATTTTTTATGTCTTGCTTGAGTAAATAAATTTAACTCTTAATGCATTGTAGATTGTACCCTAAAAATTTTGGCTTTTAATGCATCAAATTGATATAAAGTGTGTGTTTAAAATCATCCCAAAAAAAAAAAAAAAGGTTCCCACAATATGTAAACTAACTTGAGGGCATACATTATAATTTAGATAATAAAATATAAATTATTAAATAAAATGTAAGTTTTTTAATATAATTTAAATTATATAATTTAATATTTTAAAAAAATAATTATTATTATTTGATTTTAAAAAAAATTAAAAGAAAAAAAAAAGATTAGGAATTGAAAAGATTTTTTAATTAATTAAATTAAAAATATTATAATTTAATTAATTAAAAAATCTTTCTCTCCTCTTTCCTAGTCCCTTTTCTATTTACCTCCACACAAATATACGATAAAATTAAGGTTCATATTTAGAACAATATACTGTCAAAACAAAACAAAATTTTGACAAAAAAGGCTACTTTCTTTCTCGTCACTACAAGGAAGGAGGACGATAAAAATATTTGGGGAATTGAAAAAGTCCTTTGACATTTTTCAGTTCTACATATTTTGCATGGGAGAATCTCTGCATACCCTTTTCTGGGTTTATATGTCGTTTTCTTCTTCTTTCCAATAATCTTCACTGGGAAAGAAAAGGAAATGTAAATTATGAAAGGAACGGAGAAGAAAACAAGAGATGGGCTAAAAAAAAAAATTATGTGGATGCATGATGGGTACGAAAAGTAAAAGATGACTATTCATTTCTATCCAGCGAGCTGGAAAAATAAAAATTGTGCGTTTTGTTTTTTGTGGCTTTTTGAGCTTCAATGGTGGCATGGTTTGGTGAATGGTTTGATCAATCTTTAATCCATAACCATACCTAAACAGTATTATTCATTAAACATTATTTCATATTCAATGTTTCCAATCCATTTTCGTTGGATTGTTTTGGATTCAAGTCCAAGCCATCAACTCTGACAATTAAGATAAGGTAAACCTAAATGAAGTTAACCACATTTACACCCTAGTTCATCAATGCTTGAATTTTAAAATATCAACTTTTGATGATTATATTAAACAAAAAAAAAAAAAAAAGTTCATAGTTTTGTAGTGTAAATGGTAGAAAATTGCAAGATCAAAACCATCATTCTTGGAAGGTCAATCATTGCATTGATGGGATTCACTTCTATCTGATAATGACTATTATACAATGTTAAATTGTACAATTATTTAAAATTGACAATTATTTAAAATTAACCTTTATTTGAATGGTCCACTCTGATCCAGTGACATGGATCCTAGGTAAGGATTGTTCACCTTTTGTGAGTTGCGTGTTTGAATCCCATAAAATCTCTTTCTCTATCCCCCAATGAATACATATAAATAATTGTAATTTGTTTAAAAAAATCGACCTTTATTTAATAGTAACAATTAAACAATCTAATACAATTTAAATGACACAACTTTCTTTTTTACTAGTTAAAAAATTTATACATCATCATTGGTGTCAAACCATTCCCGTTCATAATAGAGTAATAATAATCAAAGTAATTTTTGATCATGTACATGATATAAAGCTTATTGGTAGGAAATAGCAAAAAAAAACAAAAAGGGCCAAAAATTCATTATAAAAGCATAGCAAATAGTGAACTGATCGTTTTTGACAAATAATAACCATTAAAAAAACAAAAATATAAATTTATTAAATAAAATAGGAGATAAACCCAATAAAAAATGAATAAAATAATCTAACAACTTTAAAAAAAATTATCAAAAATCATACATAACAATATTTTCATGTCTCAACAAACTAAAATAATAGCTCATAACAATCAAATAAGATTATAAAGCACACTTAAGGGTTCAAAAGTCATAAGATAAGGCAATAAAAGTTTGAAAGAGACAATCATTCAAAACAATCTAAAAATTGCCACACTCTCTTCGGCTTCCATTGACTCTAGCTCTGCTTCCAAATCATCATCAACATTGTCCTTTTGATTTTTATCACCAAACTCAAAATCCTCCTCTTCCTCATCTAACCTTTCAATATCTAAAGTAGGCACCTCTTCACTAACTCTAGGAATAGCATAAAATGTATTAGATCTAGTGATTGTGGCAAGAGTTTTAATATTTGGGATCGAAATTATAGGAGTTGAGGCTTGAACAAAATAGATGGATGAGTGAAGAGAGTTACTAATCGTGAAGACTTAAGTGTGAGTGTGAGATTGGAGAAGATTAGGGTCGCATCATCAGTGATGGGTGTGGGTAAAAGAAGACTGACAATGGGTGAGATTTGAGGAAAGATCAACGATGGGTGAGAGAGACCAAAGATTTGAGAAGATGATGAAAGAACTGCAATTTTTATTGTTGTGAATTGTTTTTTAACTTAGTTTACATTAATTACAAGATAATTTTTGAATGGTTACTCATCTATAGGAGATGGGTATTATTGTGAATTGTGTGAAGTCACAAAAGAATGTTTTTGTTTTTAGGGTTTTTACTTCTTTTTTATCTTGTAAAAAAAAAAAAAAAGGAAAGTCAAAAGGATAGAAATAACATTTAAAATATTAACCTAATTGTCTAATTTGGGGTTAATTTAGACAATGTTTAAAATAAGTAAATGGCGTTCACTAGCTATTTGCTATAGAAAATAGCAGCTACTATAGCAAAAAAAAAAAAAAAACTCTATGTTTTTTACTACACTATGGATATTTTTTATAGCAACCATAACAGGCCGTTACACTATATCACTATAGTAACCACTAACCACTATGGTTGATATTGGCAACACTAGATGAAAGGAATTAAGAATTTTGTTTAATTTTAATAAATAAATTTTTTTTTCTTAATACACTCACTCTGGATGCCATAAATTTGAACTCAAAATACATTACTTTTATTTTTACCAAAAAAAATATTATCACTGAAATAAGGGAATCAAATCAAAGTATAACAGGAAGTCATGAAGTATAGGGAGTTTACAATAATGTCAATGAATGGGTCCAACACCAAGAAATAGTAGTTATTTGAGGGCCTAAAAAGTTAAGACACTTTTTAATGCCTGCAACCGCGACACGATGCCACCAATTGCTATCAACTTCAACTTGTAGCCAAGTATGATACATCACCCTCCTCAAATTTACTCTTTCCTTCCCCCGTAATTCTCTGGTTTCCTGAACCCATTCCCGTAATTCCATCCTACAGACATCCATCCGAGTTCTCGGGTGTCCTTTTTCCCTGCCTTGTTCTTCTTCTACATTTTACAGACTGTCCAAACACATCACTTTAAGCAGGCAAAATCTCCCCTTTGCTTGAAATGTTTCCTGAGTCTCTTATGGCGACAACGGCGCTCGAGGAAGAGGAACAACCTCAAGGAGAAGAAGACCCACCAGCTCAGAAGCTTCTCTCGTCGTTCCTTGGACTTAGTTTCTGTGTTTTCTTGGCGTCTGCTCCCAAGAACTCGCTGTCGTTGGTGCCGAATTTGCATGCTCAAATCCAGGCGTTGCGTGCGAGGCTTTTGACGGCGGAGGAGCAGTTGAGGCAGATGAAGTCTAGAAGAAAAGAGGACTCCAAAGCGAACGCGAGAGTGGTGGAGATCTTCGCGAGCCACAGGAACGCGTGGCAGGAGGAAGAGAAGCAGCTGCTGCAGCAGATCGAGAATCAGAGGGCTAAGATTGAGGACATGGAGAGGGAGAGGCAAGAATCGAAGCAGAGGATCGAAGAGCTGGAGGAGATGATTGGATTCATGTCCAGGAGAGATGGTGGATGCCAGCTTGAGGAGGAGGCGGAGGAATTGGGGGTAGCTGAGACCAGGGAGTGCTATGGAGTGGAGGAGGAAGTCAATGTGAATGGTGCCACCGGTGGTGGTGGGTATGGACAGTATGGGAATTTCGGGTTGCCGCCGGATTTCTTAGCTTCTGCTTCTAAATTTTGGGGTGAGAGAGCTAATCCATGGCAGGTTTGTCTATTTTTCATTTTCTCATTTTTAGGTTATTTTTCTTTTTTCTTTTTGAACCCTTTTTTATTTTGTTGAGAAAATGCAAAGATAAGAAGAAACTGAAATTGAAATTAATCAAAATGATTTTAAAATATTTTTTCGCTTAATTTTTTTTAATGAATGTAACTGATAAATATAGTGTGAATCTTCCTTGTAGTTGACAACCTTCTGATTCTAGAATATGGTGGCTATTATTGTTAGTAAGTGAATCTAAGAAGACTTTCTTTGCTTGATTGCATCATCAAGTGAACTTTTGATTCGATCAGAAGTGGAGAAGACAACTTTGTTTGAGTTTGGGATTTAAATTCAATGGCATGTTGGTCTCAATTGGCTAGATAATTTAAAGCATACAGTAACTCCTTGTTTGTCTGAGACTTTGTCCTTAATCATCAGTTCTTGTCTTTTTTCCTAACTAAAAAAGTAATGGTTGATAAGCTGGTTTGGTACACAGACATAGTCACCCCCACTAAAAGCATTGCAGCTGTTTGTCTTTGGTTTGGCACCATTTATCTTGAGCATATGCTGGGCCACCTCTACCCAGGACTTGACAGCTATCATACTATCTTCCGACTTTATCATAACCAAACAAATTATTAACAATACCATAGTGAAGATAAGAGGTCTTGCTTTCTTCATCCTTCTTTTCAATCTTAATATCGTTGGCTCTTGTGGCTTTCTTTTTTGTCATACTATTTCTTAGTAAGTATTCTACTTGTATGTTAAATATATTGAATAGTACCAGAGGATTCTCGTGCCATTTTCTTGGTTAGTTCCACTATCTTAGAGCATACAATGTGTTTAGTTTTGGTTCTGTTGCTTCAAAGTGATCGCTGCTTAAAAGCACCATACAAGTATATTTTGGTTTGAAATATCTGTTATTGTATATCTTGCAGGATGTACAGTATGAATCTCTGGACTCGACGTATAATACGAAGCATTTTGTTGCCAGGTATATTCTAAGTCTTGGTACTCATTGTTTCTAAATTTGGTGTTATGAAACGCCATTATTAAGGTTTGTTGTTTGCCTTGTGCTCAGAAGGGAGTCCCCTTGGAAGGTAGATGGTGAATCAACAGGAGTTTCCTCTAAATTAAAGTTGCTGGAGCAGGAACTTTTGAATTTGGAAAAAATTGGCAACAGTGATCTGTCGAAGGTACCTTCACTATTAAGGAAGCAAGCTAAGAGATATCAAGCTCTTACTGGCAAGATAGATGATCTATGTAGAAGAATGGTAAGATTTCTTCCTCTCATTTTTCTCTTGCTCTGATATTTTCAATCTGATATTTTGACTAGGGATCATTTATGACTCAAGTCTTTCCTACTACAGCAGGCTAGTGATCCCTCTGAACCCACTCTGAGTCCTGAGTTCCGAACACAAAGACAAACAGAGTTTCTACTTGAAGCATTTAGACTTCAGCAACGTGGATCTGAAACCGGACAAAAGCTAATGGCATTGCAAACTGAGATTGGGAAGAGTTACCATGCAGATGAGCTTGGAAGCCCGGAGAAACTCACCACAAGGCGATCCTTTGATTCCATAAGAAACAACTTGAAAGAAATACAGAGAAACCTGGAGATATGGTTGGCCAGAATTATTGGGGACCTCGAAGGAATCTTGGCAAGGGACGGTAGTTCTCGAGTTAGGGAGTATTGTAGTATTTCTAGATATCCTTTTGTTCAATAAAAATATTAAACAAAAAAAGTGTTCCGTAATTTAAGTTGCATGATTTTAACAATTAAATAGATAATGGGGGTTTCATTTCTCATCTAAAGTCTCTATTTTGCAGTTTGATACACTTTTAAGACTGCAAAATAGAAAAACTCAATCTTGAAACTAGCAACCGAAATCTTGATCTAACAGATATCTTCTCTTCTGGTAAATATGCTGATCAGCCACAAACCACAAAGTAGTTAGATTTCCTCCTGTTTGGGTAGTTTCCTAGTGCAACACTGTTGAAGTCTTTAGCTGTTTCTACACCTGAAAATCTCGAGAATGTTTTATCGAGGAAAATACTCTGACGCTCAAGTCAGCAATACTCGATATTCTAGAGAGATACTCTCAAAGAGTAATTGCAAAGAGAGAAGTGTAGAGATTAATTACTTTCATTGGAGGTAGTTGGGGTACTTATAACCCCAAGTGCTGACATGCGTTGGTACATGTAAGTATCTGATTGGCCCACGTGGCGCTGTCCACGTGGATATGTTTGTACTTGCTGTGCCGGTGCTCCATCCTTTTGGGCTAATGAGGACCGGTCTAAGCCCATTATATATAACCCAAATTGAATGTTGAGCCTATCTCAACACCACCCAAGATGAAATGGGTGACCATGAACTGACGTGAGGAATATGATTGACCAAGTCCAGGAGAGGAGTTAGTTATCATTTTGATCAATACTTGTTCAAGGTTAGAAACTGTAAGATTTATATATCATGTGCAACAAGGTGAGGCCCCCACCTCCTGCTCACAGTTCACTATTTTGACAACCACAGCCACATGAATTATGAAACGCATGTTCTGTTCATGGTAAAGCAGTAGAACCCTACTTTCAGGGAAGTGCATATTTTAATTACGTTTTGTAAAAGCTGGTACTGGCAATGACAAGGGATCCATGTCTAGTCCCTTTC